ATACCGGGTAAAACCTTACACTTTCGACATCCCCACAATAATAGCATCTCATTATAAAGAACAATCTAGACTCATGCTGAGCGTTTCTCTTCAAAATCGATTACTTTTGAGTTGAAGTCTTCTTTTCGTGAAACATAAATACTTTTTGCTACAATAAACTTTCTGAAGTTAACTTTTTTCTTGCTCTTAACCTCACGTGGTATAATGGAAACGTAAGAAAAAAAATGCTTCTGTATATTAAGCACTTTTAACTATTTTCTTTGATGTTCACATTACAGAATTTTCATTCGGATCATTTAAAGTTATTCAATTGACGCGTTGAACTTCCTATAAAGATTAACAGTTGAATATATTTTATTATTATCATGACATTAAACCCAAAGAAAAGTAGACAGGCCTAGACAGGCAGGCAGGCCAAATATGTGTAGGCCTGTCACAGGCAGGTCAGGTCTTGAAAAAGTGGACCTGCTTGGACCTCTGTTATCTACTACAAGAAATATATAATTATTTTACTTCAAGTATTAAACGTCACTATGTACTTCGACAAGAGCTGGAATCTTCCGAATTTGGTTTATTGGGGAAAAGTCTTGCAGCCACACGATAGGTAAGTGATAGCTAGTTTTATTTAAGTCTTATAATCAAGTCTTCTGTTGTAGACTGCAAATATTGAATCGTTATATGCTGTGGATGTTCTTGATATGAACAGATTGTTGAAAGTTTATTGATAATTAGTGAACAAGTAACTGATAAAGATGTTGTACATCAAGCCAAATCTCTAGAAGAGAAATTATTATCATTTGAAATCATGTTATGGTTGTTTTTTATGGTTAATGTAACACGTGTAACTCATGCACTAACTTCTCACTTACAAGAAAAGCGAGTTGATATTATAGTTGCAATTGATATAATTTCAACTACTTTGAAACTTATTCAGAATATGAGAAATGATGATGCCACTATGATTAATATGATTCAAGTAAGTATCACTATTATCAATACTAAATAAAATACGATGTTTTATTTCTGTAATTTGTGCAGCAAACTGTTCAAAGTGCTGAGACTTTTGATATAGATGTTGATATCGAATTTCAGAGACCTCATAAACCTCGGCAAAAGTCTCGACATATTAATGACAATCCACATACTAGTGTTACATTAACAAGGTAAATTACAACTATTTGAAAACAAGCACATTCTTTTCAATATTTGTGGAGATCAATATTATGTGAAATTAATGCATCAGGTACTAGATCAGCTATATTCTGTATATAATGATTATCTTATTACAATAACAGATAAGCTACATTTTTTCATAGTCTTACACAAAATCGTATAATACAATTTTCATTTAATGATGCTGAAAAATTGTGTACTATAATACCTAAACTTTCATCTTCATCATTGGTTTTAATGAAATTCGAATTACTAAGTGCAGTTATTTCGGCTTGCACAATAATCGATCAAGCTATTGCACATTTAAGGACAGTTGGTCATGTGTATCCTCGTGCATCACTCATTTATAATTTTCTTATCACGTTATCTGTTACTGTGGCATCAAATGAGAGAAGTTTTTCCAAAATGAAAATTATTAAGAATTATTTAAGAAATGCATTAAAAAAATGAAAAGTTCATTCATTTGATGTTATGTGCTATAGAATACGATTTATTTTCTACAGCAGATCTTGATAAGATGGCTGCTGAATGGGCTCAAATGAAGAATCGACGTGTACAAATTACTTATGATAAATAATATCTTATTTCAAAATTTTGAATGTTGTTGATTGTTCATCTTTGTAAGATATTTCATAATAAAATAAAATTGAACACATGCCTTTTATAGAATGAAATTAAACACATTTTTTTCGTGATTGTTCGTATTTGACTTGAATAAGTGTACAGTTGAGATAAGACAAAAATTCATTTTTTAATCAGTGATATTTAAGAAGTTTTCATCATATGCCAAAACTGTCCTCCCCTCCCCCTTCCCCAATGTCAACTGAGTCGCGACATCCCTGCCAACAAATATAATATTAAGAAAAACTACTCCGACAAGATTGGCAAATTTCATCATTATATAAGGAAAAAAATAAAAAAATGTTGAAATTTATGTTATAAATGATTTTGCTATCTTCAAGTATAAAAGATCCTTGTTGTCTATATCTTTAAAAGGTGAAAAAAAAAGATTATGGCATTATCTCGTTTTGATATGCTCATTGTGGACTATTAAACACAATGTAAAACAAATAGAAACAGGAATATGTACAAGGCAGTATCTGTAGAAAAATTTGTGTAACTTCTTTTGCAAATATCTATAAACGCATGCTAATTTTCATCATTGAGAGAAAGCCCACCATTGCGAGAATTAACATTTCTCACACCTATTATTTTGTCTTACCTTTATGCTAATTGAGAGAGAAGTGAAACTTTCTTTGCCATAATTGCAAAAAGTATTCACGTAATTTTTTTGTGAACACTAGATGGTCCACGATAGACAGATGTTCTTTCTGTGGAGAGACAGAACTTTGTTATTAAGTTTCAATGAATGTATGTTTTCATAGTTTAGAGAAAGCTCTTCATTCTCGACAACTGCTTGCTTTTCTCATCACCCATCTGTATTGTTTGTGTTTCCGGTGTTTGACTGTGAGAGAGATGCGATGCATACGCTAGACTAGAAGAAAAATTATTTAAGTTTATTTTTCATATGAACATTGGAGCGTTCATAGTAGAGAAATTCTTTTTGTATGAGAGGAAAATAGTTTTCAAATCTAAATTAAAGCTAGTTTTGATCGTTAAGAGAGAGAGAGAGCTTTCTATCGCCGTCGGGTGCCTGTTTTTCTCATTCTCTATATATTGTGTTTCCGGTAATTTGGTGAGAGAGACGGAGTGTCTTCCCTGCACTAGCAGCAAAATATTTCTGTTGATTTTTCATTTGAGAGGTAGAACTTCCACTATAGGTAAATGTGTTTTATACCGAGAGCAAAGATGTTGTTATCAAATTTAAAGAAATCTGCAATTTCTTATATGAGAGATAGGTGGCGCCTATTTTACCGATACTTCGCATTTTTTTATGGTTGTTGTTGTGTATTAGTGCTGCAATAGTTGAGATAGAAAACATATTTTTTTTGACGACGACAGAATGAAAACATTGGTATGCAGTTTTCGTGACAACTTATATAGAACTACAGCGATAGAAGAAATCTCGTTTTTTTATATTTAATATCGGGTTAGATGTCATAAGTGGTGAATATGTTGCGTTTGTGAACGCCAAGCTATTATAGTTGTCCTTTTTTTTTCTGAAATACCAGTAGTTTTAATAGACGCGTGGCTTTCTTTTTCAGTAGATTTTTTTCTTTTTCTATAGGCACTCTTTAATTTCATTGACGACGAAAGTTCTCTTAGTCTTATCAGATGCAGAATTTTGCTAAATTTTTGAAGAAAACTCTATTTCATAGGAGTGAGAAGAAGGCATTTCCGGTGATCAGTAGAGTGAAGTAAAGGTTTTCTTGGAGTCTTTTGTCCAATGTTGAAAGAGAAGTGAAGATTGTTTTTTTGGAAGAGTG